CTAGTAGGTTAAAGTGCAGTCTGGTGTTTCCGCAAATCTGCGTACAGGATAGATCATACCGAAGTACCAATGAATGGACCATGGGTGATACCAGGTTGTTAATGAACGAATAATTAAAAGTATGGGATTTCCAGAATAATCAAACATCTAAATTAATACATAATCCACATTTGTGATCAGTTTTTAATTAGAAATACTGCCTAATGATCACTTGAAAGTGGAGTCAGATGAACATGGGGCTAAACTAAAATTGAAACTAAATCCTGATAAATTAAGTGAACTTTGCAGAAGCGCAAGTAAAAGACCTACACGAATTATACCTTTGCCCACCAATTTGATTCCGTCTTTGGGCCAATCTGGGTGGATCATTACATCATCATCTGTGTTCTTCAGTGGCTGACAGGACTCTTCAGCAAGTGGTGAATACTGCACAAAATATCATAGACATACCACCATCATGGACAGCTACATAAGTTGGGCATTGTAAACAACACCATAAGGTTTTATAGAAGTATCAGATCATCTGGTTTAGGTGTTTGAGAAAACAATATTTTGCCACCTGAAAATGTTCATAACAATTAATCCCTTACTCATAGACAGATAAGGGCCACTGGTTTCCAAAGAAAACACACTATTACAATCAATCAATAACGGCATACAGCCACGGATCTACTGGAACTAATAATGTTTAGTTCTTGGGAATTATTTTTCACTTCATTAATAAACTAACCATTAACTAATAACGTAGTTTAATGTAATAAAAAATCTTGAAAAGTTTGGCAGATTAGATAGCAATTGGTCTGCATAAAAAAAAACAAAGTGAGGGTGCTTTTACACTGACAATTTAGCTCAAAACAGACCCAGTTCGCATGAAAAACTGGTAAAGTGAAAGCTGTCATTCTGCGAACTTGTTCAGGAAGTAAATTAACCAGCGTGCATTTTAGCTGATGACAACGCCATTAGTTCAACAAAATGTTTAGGGGATGAAATTATAATGTCAATTCATATTGTACAGTACATCTAACTATACTGATCTGCTTTATCTGAGGTGATTTTAATTTCTCTCCAGGGTGGCAGAGGAAACTAGTGCAGAACAAACACGAGCGCAAATTATAACAAACAGGCAATCAAACTTGCACATGTGGTAGTGGTACTGTTTAACTCTTAATGCCCAGCACTGCCTGAACAAAGGCACACATGTATACCTCAAATACATGTACTAAGAACTCCATGGCATCTGCTGGCATCTCTGAATAATGAACAAAAGCGCCATTCACATCACAGTAACCATGCCATTGCTCTCCAGACACCTATAAATGAATGATACCTGCTGTTTTTCATGCTGCATTACAATGCTGTGGACATAAAATAGGTGGACTTTTACAGGAAAACTAAATACGGCGTATTATAATATCTTGTACCATACCATATAAACAATTTGCAAATCCAAACGGTTCATCAACTTGTAGGTTTAAAAATCAATAAAGATATTTGTTTAGATAAGATAAGAATTCTTTAAAGGGTCCTATTATGCTTTTTCACTTTTTCAACTTTAGTTAGTCTGTAATGTTGCTGTTTGAGCATAAAAAAGATCTGCAAAGTTACAAAGCTCAAAGTCCAATTCAAAAGGAGATATTTTATTTAACAGAAATCACTTTTCAAAAACTACAACGAATGACTCGTTTGGACTACAACGCATATCTTCTGGGATTTGCGATATCACAAATACAGACGAATGGGACGAGACCTGGTTGAGCTGCACTAGAGAAGGCAATGAGTGTTATCACTATGTCGGAGACATGCTAGCTTTCCCAAGGCAGACAAAGGCGGGCCTTCATTTGATACAGGAACTATTCGAGCCGTTCATTTGGGAAGCTGTTATTCCCTGTATAAGCAAAATCAGTAGGTTTCAGTGCAATATAATGATGTAAACAAATCCTTTCTAGGTCAAAATGACCGGAACACAACATGAGGGTTGATTTTAAAAAGGAGAGGTTTGTTCACGAGAAATCAGAGTTTATAGTTGTATAAAAATGTGGCTATATTGAAATTATACTCCAAGGCCACTTTAAACTGAGCAGCTGTTCTCTATTATTATGAAGCTGATGTTTATGAACACCACATCTTCCCCAACATCACTGGGAAATTTATTTATTTTCCTGTAATGCTCTCAATGATTTTCTACAAAGTGTACTCCAGGTATCTGAATAAAGAGGCAAAATTACCAATACTCTTAATGGTCGCAGTGCTTCAAAGCTGCCAAAATGTTAATAAAAAATGGATTTTCTAAAAGCCAACAAGCATGTCACAAAGTAAATACAAGAGAGTATTATCAGCTGCCAAGTTGTTTCTTGGCAGATTTTTCAACTGGAACTTTTTTTTTATCTCTGTAAAATACATGAATATACTTCTCCTTCAATATGTATTTACTTTAGATATACTTTTAATTTAAATATGTCACTTATTAAAACTGAACACAGACTTCATAAGAAAACTTTTACTGTATAAACAATTACACACCCAATACATAGTCAATTTTTTATGTACATGGAATAAAGTAATTGTGAACTTGACAACACATTAAAAACAGACAGTGATTCAACACATATTCAGTGCTCATGCAAAATTTAGACATGAACAGTAAAGGCCTTTGGGAAGCTCTGATGAATCTCTGAGGTTTTGAACAAAGTATTACACAATCTGCTACAATGTTTAAAAGTTGCCAGTTCTCAGGCCTAAACACAACTGTGTTCAAATAAACATGGCCCTTTAAACAGTCTGACTAAATTAAAGTCTGTCCAAATTTTCAAAGACAGTAACAGTAAGGAGATCATTTCAAATACACAAATATGAGGTATGCTGTTCATTATTAGGAACATCTATACATATCAGTGAAAAACTTTTTATATCCTTCAAGTTGCTGTCTTATTCAGATATGCATGTATGTAAACAAGTAGCCTACTGTACATTGCTGAAAACAAATGAAAGTAAGCTACTGATCCAGTACAGATGTACTGATCCATACATCTGGAGGTACTAGAATGAGATCCTGTACATGATCTTCATACTGTATAGAACAATTTTAACACTGAAAAAAAGCCTTTGTTTGAACTTCATGAAATCATTTACAGAAAACATATTCCAAATATGACTAACAGCATCAAGCAAAATCAACATTCCATGAGCGAGAAACAGCCCACAGACATGCTGCTTTCTAAAGGTCAGTGGTGAGACAGCGACAAAGACTCTTTTTTTAATGTAGTCTCCCAAATGACTGGAGAGTATATGCGATTACACTCCTCTGGGTGCTGTGCTGGAAAAGGCACAAAACACCGATTTAAAGGGGGATATCATTTTAAAGTGTACTCTACACATCACTTAAGATGAAAAGTTCCTTATAAACTCAAAATAAAACACTGCACACAATTGATAAAAGTGACATATAATGCTGTACTTTTAACAATAAAAGCTATATGCTACACCGTTTTCAGGTTTACACAACCATTTCCTCACTATAAATTGTTAACTCTTAAAAGATTTTCTCAGTACTTGGACAGCTTGATTAGCTTGGATAGTGTTCTAAATTTTGTTGCCAAATGATTTGAATTTTTACTGACTTAAGTCTTTACTGACAGTCGGCTGAATCAGTAAAAATTCAAATGGCAATAAAATTAAGAACACTATTCTAATCTAGTCCATATTCTGTTTTTAATTCTGTAAACCCAATAAAAGAATCCCTGAGGTATAAAAGCCTTCAAGACACTAAGATGTCTTGAAAGTACATCATTCAAATTCCTCAATGTAAAAAATTAATGTTTCTTTAGTTTTACAAACTTGATGCATCTTAAAACATTTAAATCATGCACAAATCTCTACATGCATTCAACTGGGTTCTAATCTCACATTCAAATTCACATTCCCACACACTGTTCTACTTAAAAAGTATAATACTCTGGTTAACCACCACTGGCTTGTGATCAACTCACCAGGGTATAGTTGCAGGTATAGTGTTTCGGTCCCACTGATACAGCACCGTGTTACTTTACTGAAGTGGCCATTAGTCTCTTTTATTACCTGTTACAGTTTTTCTGAATTGCTAAAACACATTTCTTGAAACCATTACTCATTTTCTCAAAACCTTAAACACAAATCCAAATCCTCAAACTAAATTCACGAAACCTCTGACTCTTCCATCAAAATCAAACAATCACCGCAAAACCATTTCACTTGCACTCAAAACCAAACAGTGCTCTCAGATCACACACACATGAGTCAATAAAATAAACACTACAGAGCATTCATTAGACATTACAGAGAAAAATGGAGAACACAGCATCCAGAACATTACAGAAAAAAGTATATTGTATTGAGTAAACAATTTTGCAATTCTGTAAAAAAGTATAGTAATTGCAACTGAGTAAGGTGAATATATTGTATAGGCCTATACTGTATGTACTGCAAAAATAGTGCTGAATATTGAATAGTACTGAATGTTTGTATATATTCAGCACTTGGATACTGCAAAAATACTGCAGTCCAACTGCAAAGGCCAAAAAGGTCAAATAATACTCTAAATGAAAAGCATGTTACAGTACACTCAAATAACGTAAGTTGTGCAATCGTAAAATCAAGGTCAAGGAGAGATTAATTCTGTCTCAGCATCATGTCTTTGTGCTTGAGTCCAGCCTGAGGACTTTGTCCACATCACAAGTAATGTTGTCTTTTTTGCTAGACAAAGAGAAAAAGTGTGAACAATTTTGAATCGTTGTGTGTAAACGACGAAAACTGTGCTTTAGTTGTGTTTAACTTTTGCCGCTTGTGTTTAGCATCTTGCAGCACAAATGCATCACAGTGTGATAAGTGTTTAAGTGAATGAGAATGTGTTTAGAGTTTTGCAAAAAGAGTGCATGAGATTTGCAAATGGAGCCTAACTGCCTGAACGTGTTTAAGGTTTAGCAGAAAGTGTGCTTTATTCGACAAATTGGTTTAAGCTAGTAAGAATTTGGTTCAGAGATTGGGCTTTAGTCTTTTAGCAAATTAAGAAAAACTGTAATTGATCCTCAGTGCTACAACACAACTTCTCTCGTCATTCCAAATCCAGTATGCCCTCTGAGAGGGCGTCTATGGCTTTAGAGGCAGCTGAGGAGGAGCTTCCTGGTCCCGAGTCCATGAACATGTGAGGGATCTCACTTCCAAAGTAAATCTTACTATTAGCTGCTATTGCCTTAAATTTCATCAGCTGGAGATATTCAGGGGTCAGCTTCAGCTTTGAGGAGAGGAGAGGAGAGGAGAGGAGAGAAAACATTTACTAAACAATGAGCACAGTAATGATGGGGTGCAGTTTTAGAAATGTACCTTATTGGCCTCTGCTGCTCTCTGTGCGGTGTAAAACCCTGCATCTGCTTTTGCTTTCTGCCTAGCAAGGAAAGAGCTGTCTATAAAATCAGTGAGACAAATGGGAAAGCAAAATTAACACAACAGAAACCACAGCAACATTCAGAGCTGTGCGATGAGGGATTGTTAATACCATTTAAATTCATCCTAAGCATCCCATTTCACTCTTATGATTATGAATATATTCAGGCGGTTTGCCGTTTAAACCTCAGCATCTCCTATCATTCCAATGATAATTTCAATCTGAAATGTTTGTTCATCTACATTTTCATTTATAATGAATTTATTCCACAAGTGAAAGTTTCCAATAACGGTGCAGTTACTGAGATAAGTGAGTAGTATTCAACTAGTTTATGTGTGGTGATAAATGGAGTAGTGCTGCATTTACACAGTGTCATAATTACTACAATGATAACCGGGCACTTTCTAAGTGTGAGTGTCTATGGCAACACTATAACTGCCTAAATTAATTGACATCATTTTAGTAATCAACAAACAAAACCACAATACAAACCAATTAAAAGTTGTTATGCAAATGCCTTATTAATAAACAAATCATTTTTAATCTGGACATTTATGCAACTTTTGCTAGCTGCATTATGTATTGTAGGTCTTTTATTTATTTTCAGATTATTATGAAAATATTAACAATAGTAATTTATGGGAATTAGAAGAATAGAAGAATTTGTAAGAATATTACAAAACAACTGCCTAACTACATTTTACAGCTTAAGCTGCTGCCATTTTGAGTGTTTCCATTGGTCAGGTGTCTCAATATCTTAGTATCTCAACATGTCGGCCCTCATGAGGCAAACAGCTTCCATGTAAAATAAAAACATCTTTTCTTAAGAGACTGAAAAGACTGTGATCTCACATGATTTTTATTGTATTTTTCCAAAGTACTCTTTATTTCACTATATGTAAATCCTTTTAATGTGGGGAAAATGACTGAGAAATTATTTTGCTGGGCTGCTGCCAGATTTGTCACTACTTTTACAAGCAGCAAAAACTCCAGAACAGCAGATATCCAAGTATGAGACAGTACAATAAACTTTTATAAAAATATTCCAAAGCATGATTAGAAGAAAAAGTCTGTGCATCTGCCTCTTCGAAACCATCTCATGCATATACATTGAGTAAAGATGTTATTTGTTTTTGTACTCAGTGTTTATATTCACATTAGTTCTGAAATACTCATAGACTGCCCATACCAATGTCTTAACCAATATTCACATTAAACAAAACACTGTGGCTTTTAGTATGCATAATCCAGTCTGTTGGCTCAGAAATGTCCCCATTTTTTATTTCTGTAAGAAGGAAAAGAAACCCAGCCTTGGAAAAACATTAAGAAAACTGCTTAGCATAAAACACAAGGGCCATGTTTTTACTGAAACAGTCCATTCCTTCCAACTGAACTTCTACCAGATTTTGGAACAATTCTGTGTACAGTAAATGACACATAATGAATTGATATATACATGTTACATAATGCAGTTTGCAACTAGGCCTGTCGCAATAATCAATATATAGACTTATCGCGCAATATATGTACATGACCTCAATAATTTTTGGTGACGGAATATATCGCCCATTATATTTACTCAAAAATTAATGTCACCATGTTTTGTACATTCCACTTGCGCCTGTGTCTTTTGCAGCTTCTCGTACATAATGTGGTGTAGTCATGAGGTGCTAGTTCAAATTTAAATAATGCTTCTACAAAAAAAGTTTCATCTGCAGATATGGTCTTGTTTAGAGATCTGTGCCTTTGTGCATATGGACATCTGACTGCTGAGTAGTGATTGTGTTTTTCAGCAATAGTGTGCACCCTTAATTTACAGAGAAAAGAAGGTCAGGGAAACATCTGTAGATGGAAAAATCTCCATACAAGTTCTTTGTGCATTTTTCTTTTTTTCTACTTGTTACTTTGCACTTTTTGTTAGAAAATGTTTATTTACTATTTATTCAGGTTTTTTAAGGTATCTAATATTTTGATACTTAATTTCCATGATCTAAATATTCTTAAAAATTAAAAGTTTGTTGTCATTTGGAAGTGTGTAGGCTGTTATGCTGTTACATTATGTTTATATATTCAGTGGCATAAAATGGTCTTTAAAATGACAATAATATCGCTTATCGCAATTATTTCTCGGGCAATATATCGCACGACAAATTGTTGTTATCGTGACAGGCCTATTTGCAACAAAGTTTGTATCTCCCAATGGACACACTGGCTTGTTTTGTAGATGTCCTGCACTATGATAATGACCTGCTTTGCATGGAATCACATGCCATCCATTTGTCTTGGGCATATACATTTGTAGTTTTGTTTTTTTTTTCATTTTCAACTATTTTTATATGAACTCCTAGACTATTGGTGAAAGTTTTGAATAATGTTCTTCAAAAATGATTTGCATGCTGGCTTGGTAGACAGTTGTTGCTAATTATTTGAATAATGACCAACATGAACTTGAACTTAAAAGCATGATTTGACACATTATCTGAAAACCTGGCCTGTATTGCAAAAAATAATTATTGTTTTGCTATTATTGTCCTAATATACACTGCCGTTCAAAAGTGGTCGGTAAGATTTGAATGTTTTTAAACAGGTCTATTATGCTCACCAAGGCTGCATGTATTTGATCAAAACAACAGAAAAATAGTGACATTGAGAAATATTATTACAATTTAAAATAAATGTTTTCTGTTTAATATATTTTAAAATGTAATTTGTTCCTGTGATGGGAAAGCTAAATTGTCAGCAGTCATTAGTATTAGATCCTTCAGAAATAATATGCTGATTTGGTGCTAAAGAAACATTTCTTATTATTATCAATGTTGAGAATGGTTGTGCTGTTAATTTTGTGGAAACTGTGATACAATATTTTTCTGAATTTTTTGATTAAAAGAAAGTTTAAAAACAGCATTTATTTCCATACACAGAATCTTTTTGTAACTTTATAAATGTCTTTATTGGTGCGCACTTGGGTTCGATTGACGTCAGAGTTTGGTTTGTTTGGATGATGTGAACGCTGTCTTCCGAACTCCTCTAAATAATAAACTAAAACTGCCAGTAGGTGGTGGTAAATGTCTTGATTAAGTCATCGAGTCAATTTATTCGGGTGCGCACCCGCAAACCATACCCGAGTCCGCATGAAATCAAAATTGACTTTACTTTACTAGCGCACATTGCTAGTCTTGATGTGAACAATTAATCCATGCAAGTTAATCCGCTGAAAAAATTTGTTTTTCTTGGCTTTCTTTGACTTTAATCAAAATCTGAACATTTACTTCCACTCTGGAATGGCATTCCTTCTCTGATGACATCAGTTTGTTGGCTTGGGCAGAATATCCTTAAACACACCCCTCCAACCATTAGATTGCTATAAGTGAGAGACAGAGAGGAGGAGCGCAAAAATAAACCCATGCCCTCTATTCAATATTCCGTTTCAGAAGTAAATACGTCACTACACTGAAATAAAGTCGGCAGCAACTTCCGGTTCACGCGGACTTTCCAGCAGCAACTTCCGGTTCACGCAGACTTTAAAAAGGGTGGTCTGGGGTACGGTTCAAGTGAACTCTGGTATGGTTCGCTGCTGATGTGAACGCAATCGTACCAAATCGCGGAAGTAAACCACTATTAATGACTCCTGCGCCGTCGTTATTAAGCAACGGGGTAAACAGCTGCTGGCTTGATGACGTAAACAATACAATGCAATACAATGTTTATTTATATAGCACACTTAAAACAACCGAAGTCGACCAAAGTGCTGCACAGAGTATGCAAAACAAAACAAGTCAACAAGTTAATAAACAATAAGACACAAACTATAAAACACACACTGTAAATGGATGAGGTTCACTAAAATAAAGGATCATTAAATAAACAAACGGCTCCGACCGGAAACAAACAATGAAATTTATTTTCTACCTATTAGATTGTGTTTTATTAACGTCTACACTACCCCAAACCTAAACCTACCCCTTACAATAATGAAAAAATAGTAATTATTGTTGTACAGTGTGACAAAAATTACGCTGTATTGATGTGCGCATGCCCAGTAGCCGCAGCTGTATCCCTTTCTAGCCTTGGCCCTGCGGTTCGGACTCAAATAAAATAATATGAACACAGTCCAGCGGGGGCAGGGGTCAGGGGGAGCAATCGAACTCGGGTTCGGATCAGGCAAGCGAACCAATTGTGAAAGCACCCTAAAAAATCTACTGGACCCAAACTTTTGAATGGTAGTGAATATGCCTTTTTGTATGAGCTTATATTTTATTTATGAACCAGGTACTGTATATAATGCTATGAAGTAATTTCTGCAAACATTTACTGTTCATTTTGACAATAATTTTATACTTTGATAAATTCAAGGCCCAAATACCCCCTATGTTTAATCAAGGCTGTTTTTATTTTCCTACACTGCAATCTAGGACTTCAGAGGGCACATGAAAACACATTCACCTACCTTCAATTTCTGAGATCTTTTTCTCTGTTTCTTTTTCCATAACTTTCTGTCCAAATTTTATTTCAGCCACCTGAGCCACCTTCTCTGCCTCTGCACACATTAAAAAAAAAACAAGGAAAAAAAACATTCTTTTACTTTTATATGAACTGCAACTTCATTAAAATCCAACCCACAAGACCAAACCAGCTCATCTGGCTGAATACTAAGAAAAATATCTTCACCGATGAGAGCCTTTTTCCTCTCGGTCTCTGCCTCCTTCTCTACAACCTTCTGAGTCTGAGCTGCAATCAGTAACTTCGTTCTCTCACTCTCCCTAAAAGACAGAAAGACACACACACACACACACACACACACACATCCAAACAAACACACACACACACATACAAACAAACACACACACACACAAAGAGAGTAAGGACAGATTATTTTTAAATTAAGTTCAACTGATAAGGATTTACATAATTTTCTCACATAACACCAAAATACAGTTCTGTCACGACAACTCTCGGAGGGATTGGAATGGTAATGTACATGACAATGTTAATGTGTTTGGTCTTGGCGGAATAGATCTGCTACGCTGCTGCTGCGGCAGAGCAAGTACCGAGACTTGCAACAGCCAATACTTCCACAACATTCTGCTGTAAGCATGTAAGAAATACTGCTGCTGCACATATAACACATATGAATAACCCCCATATAGCATACATGAATCACCCCGTAGCAGATCTATACAGGTGAAGCTGGGGAAGGTGGAGGGTTTCTGAAGTGGCTGCCAACTGCTACAGCAAACAAAAGCCAGGTATTTGAATATTGAGCAGCGAGCTCATTGGCTACCGATACAGGAGAGAACCAATCAGCTGCCATGTGACAATGATGTCACCAGGTCAGATTGAGCTAGACCTATCGGACTGCACCATCTAGAGTTTCATGCCAGAACTCTGTATTTGTACACTTCAGAAATAGAATGACAGTGTAAGCTCTAACCAGGGTCCAAAATTAAGATGCACCATGAACCATATGTGAGTACAATGCTACTTGCCAGTTGGCTGGTATCTTCATTAGGAACTGCAACATAATACATTTAGTCTAGCTAATGGAAGTGGCAAGTGATTAAAACACAAAAATACACAAATGCAGAAAATACAAACTTCTGTTTTCTATGATATCGTTAACCACATTTAACCTCATTGTTAACTATTGTTATCCAATTATTTGGACAAATATGTGTAATATTCCTCAAAGTTAATCACCAAAACAAAAATAAAGGGAAAAAAAAAAAAAAATGGCCATGAGCCATGGGACTGGCTCATTTTATGTAGTACACTAATATGCAAGATTATGCAATAAAATAATTATTTGTCATAGAGACAAAATATGTAAACCATGGCCAATAAGAAACATTTATTACCCAGTCCACTGATTGCTTGGAGCTGTTAAGTTAATTTTGGACCCTTGTAGCAAAATCATATAATTAACAGCTATTACACACAACATGCAAGAAGTTCTCATAAACCCACATTAGTTCATAGTTCCTGCGAATGCTTTCTGGAGTGTTTGGTTTGGTGACACGGACCGCCTGCTTAGGAGGGAGAGGAACAGAAGAAAGATAAAGGAAAGAAACAGAAGAAAGATAAAGGAAAGAGAAAAGAGTTAAAGACAGACAGACAGACACAAACATCGCTTTTGCTAATATACAAAAATCTAATTAGATCTTTGACTTTAAAAAAGGCAGAGCAATCTTCTCACAAAAAGACCTTGTTACGCAACATATCTTTTTTTTTTTTTCTCAAAGGGCCTTGGGAAAGGAGTTAAAGAAGCAGGAAGCATGAGCACACAAAACAAAAATGAATGCATAAGCATTGGTCTCAGTGGAAAATGAGTGAATATGGTCAAATACTCCTCATGTGAATCACAGCTCAATGTGCATAATGTGAATGACACATTGATTAGCCACAAAAGCTTCCACAGGGTATATACAGGAATCATGGAGTTAAATTTAATACCTTTTAAAGGGGTCATATGACGTTGCTAAAAAGAATATTATGTTGTGTATTTGGTGTAACGCAATGTGTTTATGCGGTTTAAAGGGGTCATATGATGCTATTTTAAAGATCATTATTTTGTGTATTTGGTGAAACAGAATATGTTGACATGCTTTAATGTTCAAAAAACACATTATTTTTCAAATACTGTACATTATTGTAGGTCCTCTATGCCCCGCCTCTCTCAAACACGTCGTTTTCAACAAAGCCCCCTCCTTTGACAAGCGCAGTCTGCTTGACAGACACAGTGATGATGCAGTACACAAGCCGCGGTTAAGACAGCTGACGTGCTATGATTTCTGACAGGCAGTTCACAACGAAGCACAAGAGAATTAATTGAGTGACTAACCAATGCAACCCAAAAAACAAGAATTAGACCAATAAACAAAATAACTGACAAAACATATTGAGGAGGGAAAATAAAGGTCTCCGAGCTAACGGGGCAATGAGGCAACACAGTATATTCAAAAGATGTATTTGTCATATCAACTCTTATGTCTGCAAACCATAGCTGTTTTGTGGAACGCTTCTCATGACAAACACTTGACTGATCAGACAGTTTACCTGTGATTACGGAGTGCTTGATTTGATGCAGACTTGACAGAGTGTCAGTACTGCACCTGATCAAGTCTGAATGATCATGGAAGGTAAAATAATGATCACAACTATTACATCATTTTAATTGTGCTTCCCAAGCCCATGCTGGTAAAAAAAAGCATCCAAAGTAGCGCAATTATGTCCCAAATATAAAAATGTAATTTCCATCCCTAGAATACATATTTTACAGTCAATGTTACACACATTTATCATAAACACAGCTCAAATGCTTCCTACTAGTGTGGCCCAAAACATTTAGCACAGTTTTATTACAGGTGGAATGCAAAATGTTTCAGTACAAGCATTTCAACCAAATGTAATTTATGCAATATTTCAAACCTTTAACCCACTGGGGAAAATCAACCCATGGCAACAGTTTAAAAGCAGCCCAATTTCGTGGAAAACAACAACAACAACCCTGCATCCAACTCAAGCTGCAGAAGTCAGATTTGACTGATCACGGGTAAAAAGTAAGTAGAGATAACTGACAAAGATGTTGGAGGACTTGCTCCTCAACAGATCCAGAGCTCACTGACAAATATATTTTATCCTAATATGTGCTCCCTTTTCGAAATCGAAAGTGAAAGTGAACTGCGAGCGCTCATTCACATATTGATAGCGGCGCCCTGATGCGCGAAAATTATATACATTATTAGAATATTTGCGGGAGCGGGCACAAAAATCGCGAGAGCGGATGGGAGCATGCGGTAATGGTCAGAAATTCAGCGAGAGCGGGATCAACAAGCCTCGCGCTATCACGCAGAGGCGCGGTCAGTCAGTGAGCGCAGTAACAGATGACGTCAAATCTAGCGGGATTCCATAAATAAACTACACAAAACACCACTATTCGGACAAATATTCCTAATGAAAAGATGACCCTGGAAAATGGCATTTAAGACTTTTTAATACTTATTAAGGGCCTTAATTTGATCTAAATTGATTTATCAACTTTTAATACTTTTTAAGACCCCGCGGACACCCTGTTCCAGAATTCAGGCTACGAGGAAGCGTGAATCAGTTTACTGATGATCTCAGTGTCATCTCAATGAGCCGATGACTTGCATATTAGTGCTTCCAGATGAGAAATATCAACAATGGAAATGTACTGCCTGCACAGCTGATTATGGGGAAGGCTGTTTTATGATTATGGGGAAGTCTTTGCTTGAATCTGTGAAAACTTGGTCCAGCACCAAAGGGATTTGGTTGAAGGAAATCTGCCAAACCAAAGCTAAATAAAGAAGACAAACACATGCACAAATACACAAAGAGCTTATATGCCGCATCGTATCATAGGTCTAATGGTTTCCTGAATTTGAAAGAATTGTTAACGTATAAACCATGCAGAAAACAGAATGCTGACAAGAATGTAACTCTAATGGTTTCCTGAATTTGAAAGAATTGTTAACGTATAAACCATGCAGAAAACAGAATGCTGACAAGAATGTAACTCTAATGGTTTCCTGAATTTGAAAGAATTGTTAACGTATAAACCATGCAGAAAACAGAATGCTGACAAGAATGTAACTCTAATGGTTTCCTGAATTTGAAAGAATTGTTAACGTATAAACCATGCAGAAAACAGAGTGCTGACAAGAATGTAACTCAGTGGAATGGAACAGAAAATAGAATGAATTGCCAAACCAATCTAAGTTGAGTCCCACCTGAATGATGAGCCCGGGAGCCATGCTGGTTAGATCCTGCTGCAGCGTGAGCTTAAGATTCTCGTCTATTTGATCTAAGAAACAACAGGCCACTTAAAGAACGACAGGTGTACAAAGAAATTACACACCTAACTTTTTGCTTTCTCATCACACAACATCAACTGCAAATAAAAAGCACTTGAGAAGCTTATGCCACTAACAACATGTCAAGCATCTCCACATTACCACTAGAGGGCTTTGACTATTGACTACCCTCACACCATTGTGAAGTGCATTCATGGATGAAATCTAATGCTATTATGGTCACACTCTCTCGAAATGTATTTCTACAAATTCAAATTAATTACTAAAAAAAATAGTTATTTGAAGGAGTTATTTTCTGATTCCTAAACTTTCCTAGTTAAGTCATTGTCTTTACATTTTTAGCAGGGACAAATATGCATAAAATGATTAAAATATTAAAGCCCATCACTTACCGAATAGACCTATGTAGACCTCCTGAAGTGTGTGCACACTACAGAACTGATTCAGCTCATGGTGTACCTTGTTGAAAATCAGAGCTTTGTCGTAGTCGGCAGTGAAGTTTCTCACAATGCCATAAACTGCAGTAGAGTAGACAATGATGTTAAGAGAGAGATGAATAGGGCACATAAAATAAATGGCAGTCATAGTCTGGGTCGCTGCTAAAATTCATGGGGAGTGGGATAAAACATTTATTGGAGAGTAGGCTATGCCAAAGAGGCTCTTAGTGGGTCCTCCCACATTACAGGGCCCAGGAAAATGTTCCCAGCTGTTCATCCCTAACAACAGCCTTTTTAGTGGTTCTACATTATAAATGAGAAAATAGTAATTTTACCTGCTGAGGGAACAAGATAGTTTACCACCTCAATGCAATCAAAGTAGATCATTACACCTCCACTGCAAAGCAAAAAAAACATGTTGATTGTTGAGTGTGAAAATCTATTCAGAAAGCAAAAGCGATAAAGGAAATCTCGCACAGGGTCACTCTAAAAACAGCATGTGTCTGAGATGATCTGTAATACAAGACTGACAATCTGTTTTATGAACAGAATGTATGAATGTATCGTAGTTTGCACTCAATTTTCAGCTGTTATAAGAACAAAATATTCTTGAACAACTTAAATTTCAATAATATTTCACAATATCACTATTTGTACTGTAATGTTGATCAAATAAATGCAGCCTTGGTAAGAGACTTCTTTCAAAAACATCAAAAATCTTACTGAACCCAAACTTCTGAACAGTAGTGTACACAAATGATAACACATTTACCCACATTAAGTACACATAACCATAAAAAATATTATAATTTCATTGTTTACAACTGTTTACAGCAACAATCTGTAAAACTCTGGGATTTATTTTTAACCAGTTCTTCTGGACCTTTGCCAGTTTTATTTTTATAGATCAGTAGAGAGATGAGAGGAAATAAGAAGGAAAGGAGGAGGGAACAGAATTGTGAAATGTTTTCAGCCAGCTTTATATGTCTTAGCCTAAACTCTATAGTAGATCAATTCTAGATCAAACTCTCAAGTGTCTGCTCATAAATTATGTTCTAACACAAAGTTGCAAACTTCAGTCTAGGATTCTCCTGAACTGCCGACCTGCAGTGTGTACAGGCTTTAAACATTGCAAACAAAAACATATATATGATGTTGGCTAGACATAAATGCAGGTAAGAGTTCACCAAACTTGAATTTGGTATGCAGCAATAGAAGAAACCGAATGCCTACACTAATGTGGCTCTCACCCTAATTTTGCATGCATATGAATGGAACACAGAGTCTATTGTGACTGCACTTTATAGAAGATATGATATGAACAATTTACCTCACCTTGTGCCGCATGGAACATTCTTTACTTCATCTGTCTGTAGGGTTGTCTTTACAAAAAGAGAAAGGATGCAATAAGAAAAATAAAACTATGAAGTTAAACTATACATATAAAGTCTGTCATTTACCTGTACGGACTTGAATGTAGTAATGAACGGCAGCATCAGATGAAAGCCAGGGCCACTGGTGGTGGTCAGCAGAGCTCCACCTCTAAAAGAAGAGAAGCACACATCTATAGTACAAAGTAGCATGCACTGCTGCATCTGCTTGGTTCTGGAAGCAGATTATTGGACAATTTTAAGCAACTGACCTGTAGTAAACACCCACATGTCCTTCTTCAATCTTATGAAGAGCAGAAAACACTGCGGCTCCTCCTATGGCGAGGATCACAGAGGCAACTGCTCCCAACGTCATTCTGAACACAAAAGAAATATGTTAACCAAAATATGTTAACCTATTAACCCCACCCTCAAGCCATCCGAGATGTAGGCTAGATGAGTTTGTTTCTTCATCTGAACAGATTTGGAGAAATTAAGCATTTATTTATTTATTTATAAGCAATTACTTACTCAACACTGGATCCTCCTCTGCAGTGAATGGGTGCCGTCAGAATAAGAGTCCAAACAGCAACTAAAAAGCAAATATAAAACACTACAATAATCCACAAGTAATCCACACAACTCCAGTCCATCAATTAACATCTTGTGAAGAAAAAAGTTGCATGTTTGTAATAGATAATTCACCTTTAAGAAGACATTTTAACCTCAAACCATTGCTTTCAGCTAAAATATGAGTTCTCTCTCCATAATATTACTTTCTCCAGTTAAAAAGTTGTCTTGAAAGTAAAACGCCTTATCGATGGATTTATTTCTTACAAACACACAGCTTTTCACTTCACAAGATGTTAATTAATGTACTGGAGTCATGTGGTTAATTGTGATGTTTTTATCAGCTGTTTGAAACTCTCATTCTTGCGGCACCCATTCACTGCAGAGGATCCATTGGTGAGAAAGTGATGTAATGCTATATCTCTCCAAATCTGTTATGATGAAAAAGGCCTGAGGGCGTGTCATTTTTCATCAAATTTTCATTTTTAAGTGAACTAATCCTTACATCTCCATGAGTTAAAATGTAAAAATTTAACATGTAAAGTAACTTTTCTGATGTATTGTTCACTTATTTTCCATTTACATAACAGCCATTCTTCCTCAAGTGGGAAACATGTTGTGTTTTACTAATTATTAACCATTCTTAATACATGTAATGTTTTATTGTAGTCTGCTGAACTAATCAAGACAACCTAAAGTGGTCGCTGGTCCAGCCTGGTCAATATCTGTTGTGGCCGATTAGAACGATTATTTATTTGTGTGTGTGTGTTTTATGGTTAACAGCTAAACAACATTATTAGTGTGAACCCCAGGGAAAAGTACAGTCATTAGAGTTCATGACAGACTGAGAGAGCATGTGGAACACTGACATTGATGTGACTTTGCTGCTAAGAGGATTGAGAAAACCAAGCGCAAAGACCTCCAAGCAACTGTCCATTTTATTGACTGTGTATTATTTAAAAATATCACAAACGAAAACCTCAGTTTTGTGAACCAGCACTACAGGGTGCAAAGCCCGGGTTTTAGAGACAGAATAACAAACAGCAACTTTGACTTAAGACACTATTCTTCATTAAATGCATGACTTAAGTGACCAGAAGTTGCCGCCGGATGTGGGTTTTCTCTTCACGTCACACAAACTAATCGATCCAGTTCTGTAAACTAGTTAACGTACGTTATGTCAAAATAACAAACATTCTCCCGGCGACAAGATGCAATCTTACCCATAGAAAACATGACTAAGTTAGCTAGCTTAAAGATGTGTACACAGACAAAATACATTAAGACAAGCCTGTCAACGCCAGATTGCAACACGGAAAAATTACTTTGTGGATGAATGCGAACAAATAGAGATGTTACCTAAGTACGGTCTGTAACTCCTTCCAGATGGCCGGTAGAGACACCTGCGAGCGATGAGGAAAAAACAGCGACGCTCTTTTGCGTCTGACGTCACTACAGTTTAACCCACTTTCCCGCTGTTGTTAGAGCATCACACCATTAGATGGCGACAAATATCTTCCTATAAAAACAGGATTGGCGCTGACCCTGATTTATTTGCCTCGGTGTTATTTTATTAAACTTTTGTAGAATTTATTATAGCTATTTTGAATTTTTATTTCATCTTTAGTTTTATTAATTGTAGTTCTTCAGCTTAAACGTTTTTTATTATTTACATGTTTACGTTTATTGTTTCCTATAATATTTACATTTTATTTCAGCTTGTTTCAGTTATCAGAAATTATATTTAAAAGTTTTAGTTTTAGTTAAAAATAACAACACTGTTTTGCCTGTAAAAGTAATTACAGTAGGTAATTACAGTAATACGAAGCCACCAAGGAGGGCTACAACAGGCCTTAGGCAACAACATAATTTTTTTAACTGCAGTTGTCAGTTTCCTTTAAGTGCTGCTGGTCTAAGAAACATCTTGGTGGCAAGCAGAACTACATCTGTAGTTGGTCACCAGGCATTCCAACAATTTCTGTTCATCAAATGATGTTAAATGTGGACACAACCAAACAATACTGATTTTATTTTTCAATGTGAACAGTTGGATTATATATTTATAATTTCTTTATATTATGAATTACATTACTAGGACGCATAAGAGTACAAACATTTACACAGAACAAACATTTGTGAAAATGAAACTTAAAATAGAAACTTCTTGTATTCTCTACAGATAACGGATGCTTCATGCCGTGTCCTTAAGTTTCGCTTATTTGTTTTTGAGGTTCAGTGGGATGGCGGTGGTTGTAGAAGATGACCATAGATGCTCATCTGGTTGCATCTCATTTCGAGTATTTCTTAAAGATGGAGATATACTCCTGTACATCATCAGGGGAGCCCAGCACTACAGGAACCCTCTGGTGGATTGAGTCAGGTTTGATGTCTAGAACATTCATGGCTCCTGTTGTTGCCATACCGCCGGCTTGCTCCATGATGAAGGCCATGGGGTTGCACTCATACAACAGCCTCAGCTGGAGCCCAGAAAGAAACATGAAACCAGTGAGACTGTTGCCATAAATACACTTTTAAACTCTGTTTCTCCTCACCTTGCCCTTGGGGCTCTTGATATTAGCAGGATACAGGAAAATTCCACCATACACCAGAGTCCTGTGCACATCAGCTACCATTGAGCCCACATAGCGCCCTCCATAGGGTGAACTGCCATCCTGCAGGTCAGAGTGGGAATGTTATATTTACTCTCAGTGGAAAAGGCTAATTATCATGGCTAAAACTATTCACTGAGCTGAATTTTACAGATTTTCTCTGTAATGTTCTACTGCACATTTAGAAGAGAGATATTATTTCATTGTCAAAATTGCACTTAAGTCAAAATAATGTAACCATACTTGAGTAAAAGTAAAAATGTTTTTTACATTTAACTTTAACTGAGTACTTTTCACCCCAGAAATAATGTTACAAAAACTAACTATGCTACCGTTCAAACGTTTGAGGTCAATACATTTTTTTTTTTTTTTTTTTTTTTTTTTTAATAATTTTTTTTGATTGAAATTGACAATAAAGACATGTTAAAGAAGATTTCTATTTCAAACAAATGCTGTTCTTTTGAACTTTCAATTTATCAGAGAATGTATCACAGTTTACACAGAAATAGTAAGCAGCACAACTGTTTTCAAAATTTGATGATAATAAAACTGTTTCTTGAGCAGCAAATCAGCATATTATGAATGAGTTTTGTAGGATTATGTGACACTGACGATTTCAGTAAAGGGTGCTGAAAAATTCAGCTTTGCTATCACAGGAATAGAATTTCAAATATATTAAAAAAGAACCAGCATTTTTACGTTGTAATAATATTTCACTATTTTTAAATTGTAATAACATTTCACAATATTACTGTTTCTACTGTATTTTTTTTTGGCAAAATAAATGCAGCCTTGGTGAGCATGAGAGACTTCTTTAAAAAACATTAAAAATCTTACTGTTCAGAAACTTTTGACTGGTAGTGTACATTTGTATGAAATATAGGTTTATTAAATCTAGGGTATTTAAGTCATTTTAAGATAAATAACATTCTTGGCTAACAAATTGAAATGAGGAGGGGGGGAGTGGGAGTGAAGGTGCAGTGCAAGAGAGAACCTTTCATTATTTTCCACGGCCCCAGACTTAAGGATTTAGAACTTTTTTTATGTGATTGCCATACAAATAATATGGTTGTCTGGTTTCAGAAATTGTTGTGGATGTATAGACTATATACAGGAAATAAGGGGCCAAAATTGCACCTTTTTGGGTACAACAGCTTGTCACTGGAACAGGACCCTTAAAAGGACATATTTGTTCCTTTTTTTTTTGCCCCTAATAGGTAGGCCTACAAATTAGTACCTTAAGGGTACGAATTATTACTCTAAGGTACTAATATGTATGGTGTACTGCTACAGTGTCAAGCTGTTGTACTCCAAAAGGTACAATTTGGACCTTTTTTTTCTGTGTGGCCTGGATGAGTGTGAGATTTCCCAGCCTGAAATTGCGTCCCAGTCTGGCCCTGGGACCCGCCTATACTAACGCGCTCTTTAAATAACAAAAACAAAAAAAAACTTCTGCGCCAATGACTTTAGACCAGGTTTTTGTTGGTCAATGGGGCAGTTTATTTCAGTTGCCTCAAAATAGCAACGCGCCAGCAATGTGCCTGAACACACCTCGTTTTCAGACAGCGCAAATGCATTTGCTATTTAAACAACGTAGCGCAGGACATGAAAATGACTGCGTCGGGCTGAAACTAGCAAAAAACACTTGCGTCGCGCCTGGCGCCACATTGCGCCAGGTGTATGATAGGGCCCTTATAGTTAAGATCTGACTCTACCATGATAGTAATGGTTATTAAACAGATAGTAGGATGTTTCTCTAGCTCAGACCCTTTTGTGACATCTCAAAATCTGGAGCCTCTTACCTCTGGGAATTTCTTCTTTTTCAGATATTCTGTTACATCTGGGTAAAAATGTGCTGCGTAGCCTTCATTCAGACTGTAGATCTTTCCCTTCTTCTTAATCTTCACATCCTGGTCTACAAGTATAAACTCACCAATGGCCTAATGATGGAGGAGGAAAGAATGCAGAAAGATGAAGAGGTAATTCAGCTATTTAAAGTTAAATAGGATATGAGGTATGTAACATAAATCTGACTTACAGGATCAAGCATGAAGCAGTTGACACCCTGGCCTGTGGAGAGAACCAGCATGGTAGCACTGCCATAAAGAGCATACCCTGCTGCCACAATGTCTCTGCCACTCCGCAAGGCATCCTTCTCTGAGGGTTCATCATCAGTTTCCTGGAGATCACGTGCACAAATAAACAAACAAAAGCATTTCATTAGTCTTTAGATGACTGCAAAGAGATATGTTTGTACTGCAAATGATATGAAAGCCTGTACTGTACCTTTCTGTAGACTGCAAAAATGGTTCCAATAGAAGCTAAGCAGTCAATGTTTGAAGAGCCATCCAGAGGGTCAAAGCAAACCACGTATTTTCCCTGGGCAAAAAAAAAAAAGTACAGAGTCAGGTAGTTTATTGGCCTGTACAGAAATACATCATTACAACATAATTTTACATCATTTACTTTTACTTTAATTAATCGAGGGATTTTTTCAGGTTAAAACAACAACAAAACCAATGATGCACACTTACCCTTTTCTCTGGTTCTATAATGATGGCGTGATCGTTTTCTTCAGACACCAAAACACAGGATGTGAAGGAGGATTTAATCATGTTTATAACAAGATCATTAGACAGGACATCCAACTTTTTCACCTGATCACCTGTAACATTTGTGCTCCCGGCAATTCCATAGCTGAGAAAAAGAAAAAGATAGAATTCGGAACTTATTCATGGCGAATTATGTGGTCTGTATGCTTTCTTCACAGTGCTGATAACTTAGGAAAGAGATGACCTTTGCCCCCTATTTCAACAAGAGACAAGGTCTAATCATTGCCTCAGTCTGCAGTGTTTGTTTGCAAAGTAGCTGAAATGAGCATACGCAACAACATGGCATATAGTAAATATATATGTTCAAATGTGCAAAAACGATGCATCAGAAAAAGCTTTTTGCACAGATGGAAATGAGAGTTTAAACTACTGAAAAGTTTCTAATCAACAGGACACTAAAGCACATTGTATAGTCTGGGAAGTGATAGTGTGGCTCCACATTCAATACCAATAAATAGAGAAAAGTTTCCTCACTTTTTATACGATAGGAAGCAAAAATGACAGAAATGGTCTGAAAACCACAATATTAAAATGGTGGTAAAGATGCATTAGCAGATACTCACAGATTGGCAATGCCAGCTTTTCTGACTGCAGTGGAAATGGCTTTGATTGCCGTGCACATGGAGTTGAGAAGGGTTGTAAGCTCGCCCGTTCCTTTGGCTTTTCTGCCCTCTTCTAAGACAAACCTGGTGAGGGTCACCACATTAGTATCAAATGCACCTCTGTCTGACATGATGACTGACTGCTAAAGCGTGAGTTCCTGCTGATTTTTGTCGGAAAGGATGTATTAGAATTAAGTGTAGATATATGACTGCGTTTAAAGGGGGAGTGATGGTAGTTTAGCCAATTGCAGATAGAGTTAGAAGGAAGGAGTGGTTTTTTGCACATGTAGTGAATGCAGGTGAGGGCCTGGCCAAAGTCCATAGAGTTTATCACAGATTTCACCCTGAGTGCAGGGGGACAGTCTCTTCAAAACAATGAAGATGATTGTATTAGTTTAGCTTATTTGATCTGTGATTGATTGATTAACATTTTGCAATGTAAATCTACTTTATGCAACAAATTGCATCTAGGTCTCAGTTATAAGATCTGTACTTACAAAAAAAGTAATAAAATTAATGGATGATAAAATCCGACTATAGCTATTCTATTCTACAGAGAATTTTGCAACATTCATTCATCTGTTTACCTAAAGACCCATATCTGACATAGTTGTAGTGACTAATCATTGATCGGTAGTGCAGAACTGTCAGCAGAAACAGTTTATGTGCACGGGGTGTCCGTGATCAATGTGCAGTTCAAAGGTTAGTGTGCTTGATTCTACGGTGGCTGAGAAGTGCTAAACAAATCACAATTCTGAAAACAAAATAACAAATTACAAACGTAAATGAATGGGCTTATCCAACTGTGCCACTGGAGCAGATGAGTCACAGCCACTTTTAACTAAATGTAAATAGACACCCCGTATTTTTTATTCCATAGTAAGGGCAATTCATACAATACATTTAAACTGAGCTTCTTTAATACCATCTCCGAACTTTCTACCACGACTCTGCTGTTCTTCGGCTGGTATTGTATGAATTGCCCTTACTATGGAATAAAAAAATACGGGGTGTCCATTTACATTTAGTTAAAAGTAGATATAAATCATCAGCTCCAGTGGCTCAGATGGATAAGCGTGTGCCTGTGGCTTTTTGACGCGATCGACCCGGGTTCGATCCCATCTTTTGCCGAACTTTTTTCCCTCGCTTTTCAAATCTCGTATTAGCAATGGATTCTATTTACACTAAGTGAAAATAGCAGTATTTCTACTATCAAGTATACTACTCGTTGCAAATAGTGGCAATTATCTGCACTTCAGTATTGTAGTACATTGTAGTACATACATGCAATAATAACGTATTGAGTGTAAATTATAATTTTAATTTTGTTAATTTGTTTTTTGAATTGTTGTTGTGCTTTCTGAATTGTTATTTTGTTTTTAGACTTGCATTTGCGTTTGTAATTTGTTATTTTGTTTTCAGAATTGTGATTTGTTTAGCACTTCTCGGCCACCGTACTGTCCTGAAGGTTAATTGCACACAAATGAGTGGGGCAGCATACATGCACTAAATAACTATTCAGAATTCTTACTGGTTCAACTCTGATCTTTGCTGGTTTTCAGGGCTAAAATGATGGTAGCCTACAATATAGTACAATAATAAACTTAATGATGATGATGATTCAAAATTATTAAAATAATATTTTACTATAAATAATAAAAAGCAGGAGAAAGAAGACAAAGATTTATCACAGCTCTTGATTAATACTTTAAGTTGTTCACAGCTCCAAAAACGACAACGTACAAGCTATTTCTTTTTGTTTTGTTTATCTACAAAATAAATATCCCTGTTTTTGTTACTGTATACAGTAACAATTAAACAAAAAAACAGGATTCAGATCCAGTCTCCGTTCCGTTGTCGTAATGTTTGTCTCTTAAAACTGCCCCTGTACCTTTAAGAGAGTTTTACAGTACTTCCGGGTAAGCATATTATTCACAGTTACAGATATATACGGATGGGTCGAAGGATCCTGAATCTGGAAGGACAGCAGCAGCAGTATATATTCCTGAATTTAAAATAAAAATAGCCAAAAGAACATTAGATAATTTGTCTGTTTTTACTACAGAATTAATAGCATTTATATTAGCACTACAATGGATTGAAGAAATACAACCAAATGATATTGTAATATGTACAGATTCAATATCTGTTCTAACAAGTCTAGTGAGTGGTAAATCTGCAGCACGGCAAGATTTAATATATGAAGTATTACAGTACTTGTTTAGAATTAGACAATTAGGGATAATGGTATACTTCCTATGGGTACCGGCTCATACTGGGGTGGAGGGAAATGAGGAAGTGGACTGCTTGGCTAAGATGGCTCTGAAGCACTCACATAGTGAAATTAATATAGCAATTAGCAAATCTGAAATCAAGAGAATTATATCAATTGAAGTAAGAAAGATATGGCAAAAGTTATGGGATAGTGGAATAAAAGGAAGGCATCTTTACCAGATACAGGGGTGTGTAGGTGAAGAGAGAATAAGATGTGGGAGTAGGAAGAAAGATGTTATTATAACAAGAATGAGGATCGGACATTCAGCTTTAAATTTCAATTTACGCAAAATAGGGAAGCATGAAAATGGAAGATGTGATAAATGTGGGAATCCAGAAACAGTAAAGAACATTCTTCTAGAATGCAATGCGTATGAAAGAGAAAGAAATCAACTTAATCATAAATTAGGTTTGATGGCACATGATAAAGTATCACTCAAGATATTACTAGGGAATAGACAAATGCAATCAAGAATTAAAGAAGAAGTGTTCAATTATCTAAAAAAGACAGGAAATATGGAAAGAATATAAATTGTAATTGTGGTATTCAATTATTAAATTTTTTTTTTTTTATATCCTTCTCTCTACCAAATCTGTTCACTGCACACTCCAGATCAGTAGGTGGCGGTAATGCACCTTTAAGTTGGTTTGCCAAAACCGCCAATAAACATCAGAAGAAGAAGAAGTACTTCCGGGTTAGAGAGCTGAGTTTGGACAATTCCAAAACATTTGTGAGTAACGCGTCGCATAGGTGAAACCGCAACCTGCCACTGGTGCTGGGGTATTTTGATTTCTGTTATAAATCAGATTTGGCTTTTTCAAACCCATAGTTTTAATTTAGCCTGCGTGTTCAGCCGCACGCGCAAACGTAAAGATTCTTTAGAAAATGACAGCGCAGAAAGTGCTTTATTGACCGCCGCCTTCAGTTTGTTATTTCACACAATATGAATGTGGCCTGTGCAGTAAATCGCATTGGACTGTAAAATAACCATGTGTTACTTCAGAGCTTCACCAGCTTACGCCTGTTATTGACCTCAAGTTGGCTATTTTACAAGTGTACTTGACCTTCTTGCAGTTACAGGTTCAATATGAGATGACTGAACCTAGAAATTTACAATTGAACTAAGTTAAGCCATTATAAATGCAAAAACAATAATGCATGATGCGTTTGTTTCAGTACAGACAACAACCTTAGTGTGTTAAAATATTTATTTATTAATATATTATTTAAAAAGACAAAAACAAACCTCTATCTGTTCCCCATGTTTATCTTCTTTGATTCCAATGGAAAGTATAGTGATACAGTATAGTCTTATGCATTTTATTTAAATCAAAGATTAATTGTTTTGTCTGTGCTTTTGCATGGAAAGAAACAGTGTAGTATTAAATGAATATAAAACAGTATTTATAATGAGATCATGTAATAGTCTAACAAACAAATAGATCTAAAACGTTTACAGTGCATTGGATACAATACATGCATTGTAGAAAATACCAGTACCTTCAAAGTTTGTCCTCAGAATAGTTTTCCAATGTCCTTCTCATGACTTTTACTGAAAATGTACAGTTAAAGGTCTTTACATTTTATGTAAATATTGTGAACTTGTTAATGAATTACATAATAACAGATCTGCCTTCTGAATCACTATCAGCAGTGCTTATTTGTATTGTACTTTTTTTTTTTTGAAAACGCTTGGCTGTCCTGTTAATTGTTACATTGTAGTATTCACTATTGCTAGTTATACAGTAGCTGTTCCCTCTTTTGAATGGAAAGAAATACATTATATATATCTTTTTTTTCAGAATGGCCTCCTTTGGCTGGAAACGTAAGGTGGGGGAAAAAGTTTCCAAGACGACAGTGCAGCAGTTTGAGAAGGACTCGGAGCAGGCGGATAATGAGGATGTGGAGAAGGAGGGAGTTGATTGGCTGCACGTCATCAAACGGCGGCGTGAGGTGCTGCTGGAGGATTGTGCTGCTAAGAGCAAGAGGCTAAAGGATGAAGGGATGCTGCTCGCTGAGCAGGGCAGGTAGATGTTTGTTTGTGTGCTTGTTAAGTGTGCTTGTTAAATCCAAATGTCTATTTCCAGCAGTCTTACCAGCGGGCTAAATAAAAAGTTTGGATGAGCTATTAGGCAGCATATGTTGGGGAATAGCAAGCAGTGTGTACAGAAAGAACCAAGTGTTAAACAACATTGCTTTTACTGTTTTTATTTCTTAGTTACAGTCTGAAGCATTATATGTAGTACGAGTCAAAAAGTGAGTCAGTGAGTTAAAATTATGTAAAGACGTTAAATGTTTCCACGGTGTTTTGTGGGTGCACCATTGTAATCTACTCTGTGTTCTGGGCAAAAATTCCCTTGCTTATGTACACTACTGTTTGAAAGTAAGGGGTCAGCAAGATGTTTCAAATGAAATTAAAACTTTCATTCAACAATGACACATTAAAATAATCAAAAGTTACAGTAAAGAGAGTTATAATGTTACAAAACATTTCTATTTCAAATGAATGCTGTTTTTTTTTCTTTATTCATCAAAGAATCCTAAAAAAAACTAAACTATTACAGTTTCCACAAAATAATAAGCAGGGCAATGTTTTTCAACCATTCAACTATCAATGGTTTTCTTGAGCACCAAATCAACATATATGATTTCTGAAGGATCATGTGACACTGAAGACTGGAGTAACGGCTGCTGAAAATTCAGCTTTGCCATCACATGAATAAATTAAATTTTAAAATGTATTAAATTAGAAAGCAGTTAATTTAAATTGTAAAAAATATTACTGTTTTTACATTTTCGTCATTTCAACATATTACTGTTTTACCGTATTTTTGATTAAATAAATGCGTTCTTGGTGAACATCAAAAACATGAAAAAATCTAACCGACTCCAAACATTTGAACAATAGCATATACACACATACAAATTGGAATGACATTGATATCCTGGTTTTGACAGGGAGCTGTCTGTCTGCTTGATTTGAAAAGACAAGTCACATAATAAGATACTTGTTGGCCCCTGGAAAACCTCTCTCATCTTACCTGATTTTCAGTAAGTACGTTTTTTACAGTCTGGCAGCGTGTGCCAGCCAAATTCCTTCCAGGAAAAACTGACAGCTGTTTTGCCTTGACGGTTATTCATCTGTTAGTTGTTATTTAAGCAGGTCAATGCATTGGCCAGGAACGTGACAAAGCAGTTATTGTCAATGACAGAAACAGAGTTCTTAGAGTCAACAACAAAGAAGATAAGTAGCGGGTCTTATGGTGTCAATTATAACAGTGCCACATCCATCCAGCAGATGGGACTGTGGGTTCGCTATGGAACCTCTGCATGTGGATGTCACTTGTTTAACCTGTTCACCCAAAATATGCTGGCTCATACAAAACTATTATATGGCTTCAGAAGACCTAAAATATAGTGCAGAAGTTTTATGGGGTATAATGCTTTTTATGGTGCCCTTTTTGTAATTTTGGAACTTGACAGCCCAGACCCCTATGCAAATGAATTATATATACAGTACATTTCTGGGTTTGCTATGCTTTTAAAAACATTGACTTATAACCAACTATTTACATTATTCATTCTGAATGAAAAATATAAACTGAGCACATATTAGCAAGGATAAAGCTGTTTATTATATCACTTTTCAAAGCAAATCTTGTGCTTTGTTTATTTCAAGTAGAAAAAAGGATTACATCTGTCTACTTCTATTGAAATTTATTCTTGTAATGGCTTTCATGAAGTAAGCCCGACACCGGCCGGAGAGGCCTAGACAGGAGTTCAGTAAAGTATGAAGAAGCTGAAAATTTTAGCACTCAAATGGGACTTTTGGTTTTAGCATATCCGTGAAAAGCTCAACCAACGGTCATGAAGTTCAACCAACCTGAAAGGTAATACACTCCAATGTGCGCTTTTTGCTTTCATTATTTATTTTCAAAGATAATAAGTAATTATTTAATTGTTTAATATGCACCCTCTTCTCATGGAGGCAGCATTTCTTATATGAATCAGGTGTGTCTGTAAAAACCTTAGGATGATCCTCATCTCTTTGAGCTGAGTGGGTGTTACGAAATATGAGATGGAGAGGAAAAAGGGCTTCTTTCTCAAGTTTCTTAACCGGAACAATAAGTCAAATTAGGCCGCTTGTTTTCTCAGTTTCCAAAGAAAGGCAATAAAACGTCATAGCCAGCAAGCATTTGAAGAGGATAAAAGAATAGCTTGAACTTACTGGAAGATGGTTTAGTGGCATGGATTAAACTCGAGCTGCTGTTATTGCATCCTTACCCTGTAAAGCCTTAAAGGGGTCATATGATGCGATTTCAATTTTTCCTTTCTCTTTGGAGTGTTACAAGCTCTTGGTGCATAAAGAAGATCTGTAAAGTTGCAAAGACTAAAGTCTCAAATCCAAATATAGATAAAGATATTCTTTATAAATGTTAAGAGTCAGCCACACCTACCTAAAACGGCTCGTTCTAACACGCCCCCACATATCTACGTCACTATGTGGAAAGATTTGCATATGAGACGCTGTGTTTCGTTGTGAAAATGGACACTTCTTTGTTTGGCCTTCCAAAAGAGAATGATATCTGCTTCGTCATGCCTGGAGCATTTTTCCTTCTAAAAATGGACACGACTCGAAATCAGTGGTTAAGTTGTATTTACAACACTGTTCCAGAACACTTCAACCCAAATATTCATCTGTTTGCAGCACATTTTATGGAGGACTGTTTCCTGATCCTGGAAGAGTAGACTACAATGACGGCTGCTCTGACTCACAGACTGTAAGTACGTTTT